CTTATATGATTTTTAAATATTTAAGAGAGAGAGTGATCAAGATTTCTTACCGGTTGTTTTTTTTATTTAAACTAATCAAAGCTCATATTCCAAGCTTAAATTAATACGTATATGTATTGCATATTTTCCGTCTACAATATATAATCATGAGAACGAGAGAAATTTTGTCACTCTAAATCAACTTTACCATGGATCCCTTGGATTATTTATAATAACCTTATTATTTAATCTCAATTAAACTCTTTACTAATAAAATTATGAAATCATATAATATAATTTATAATATTAATTTTTGTAAAAAGAAAATGATAACAATTAAGAGTTTAAATCGAGTTTAAAAACTATGTAATTATAATGAGACTTTGTATAAAGAACTGAAGCTCTTTTCATACTTTCACTGCATTGTCAAAGCTTCCTGTATTCCATATTGGAATTTCTTAGTGCTTGAAGCCGATGGAGGCATATTCTACTGGGTTTTTAGCTGTTGTAGCTTCACGTGTAGTGATTGGACACAAGGAAGAGGCCGAAGACCTATGTGAAGTGAAAAATTAATGCTATGATCTTATCCAATTTATAGCATGACCCACGATGTAGACTATTCATGAGAATTTTGTTAGGGTTTAATACAATTTATTTATATATACTATGCGTAATGGTCCTCTGTATTTGTATTTTATCCAAATTGTTTTCACATTGAAATCAATAAGTCAGACCATTAATACTCACTAAAGAATTTCACCTATAATCACCAAGTATTAGAACAATGGAATAATAAATGATCTGAATTCTCCTGCTCTACTATACAAAATGGACATTTAGATTACCCTACCAGAAGTAACCTGCGTCTAAGAAGAAATTCGATTTTAGATCATTAGCCACATAAATGTCTGTATTTCATTTATTTTATTTAAAAACGCTAATTAAACAAAACTTAAATGACAAGGGAATGATTGCACAGCAAATATATATGTTTTAGGCAATCAATCTGATCGACATTGATCATATACGCATGCATTTAGTTAAATGACACCACTCGAAGATACATAGTAGCTCCTCCTCGCCAAAAGTAAAGAAAGAAAAAAAGATGGCAGCTCTTGATTTCTCATGGCTCAACACGTTTTATCGAAACATTTGGCACCATCCACCATTATTGATGGCTCAGCACAAATTTTATGGCGACAAAGGGAGCTCCACCAAAAGCACCATGTGATAGATAATGACACCTAGCTGTCCTCTCTTTGTAATCCCCAGAAGAACAAAAAGAAAAAGAAAAAACAGTTTGGGAACTTGTATTTAATGCATTTGCACTATATATATATATATATATATATATATATATGTTCTTAAAATGATTTTTTATTTAATAAATTAGATACTTGGTGGTTTTTGGGTTGTTGTGATGGGGAACGAGAGAATGCGATATTCCCTACTTTTAAATGGGTTTAGAAATGTGTTTCGTTTTAAAAAATATTAAATTAATTTTTTTTGATATTTTTTTATAGTTTTAATATATTAATGTTAAAAATTTAAAAAAAACTTAAAAAATTATTTTAATTTATTTTTAAAAAGTATCGTAGATCATGTTAACAAACACGCTGAGTTGAATTAAATCTATTTCTCTAATGCAAAAGGCAATTATCTTCCTTGACCTACTTTTTTTTCGAAAGAGCCCTTGATAGGTTTAGGAGTTGAACTTTGACCCTTCCTTTTCGCTCATCCCCTCGTGTATTTATTAAAACAAGCTAGCCAATCAATGCCCGATATATATATATATATATATATATATATATATATATATCGTGTATAAGTTTTGTGGAATAATCAATTTGCATATGAAATTATGGTTTGAAATCAGACTAATTTTGTGTTTATTTCATTCAACTTCCAATCTAAACATTATTAGAATAATATTATTTTGTGTAGTTATACCAAACATGATTATAAAACGAAGCTTGACTCATGACAGATGTAGGCAAAAAATAAAGATAGTAATTAACTAAAGAATACATAATTTTTTCATGGACGAAAAGTGTTGCAGATGTAAACTTTATAATTTACAAGTTTATTCTATCTACATAATAATAATAATAATAATAATAATAATAATAATAATAATAATGAAGTTAATCATTTTACAAGCTTCACAAAGTTTTAAATAAGTCAGAAATTATGTCTCAACTAGAAAACAAAAAAAATCAAAATTACAAAGAAAAAAAACATAAAATTTAAAAATAACAAGACAAATTATAAAAAAAACTATCAAAACTAAGGAGCTCTTATTGAGTTTTTTTATCTAACTATTTATTGGCCTGTGCAGTAACATAGTGGTTACAATAAAAAAAAAAATACTCTCCGAATACTCCTATAATATTCGAGTGCAATCTAATAATAAAATAAAATTTTTTTTTTTGAATTATTATTTTGTCTTGATGCATATCTCTTCTTGCACCTAAATATGTTTCACTAGTTAATATATATATTGTTTTTTTTTTAATTTAAATTTTAGGATGATACTTAAATTTCTTTGAATACATCTTACCAATATAAAAAAATAATAATTAATACATAAATTTATGTTTGAGAATACTTTTTATTATTAAAAAAAGAAAAGAAAAGAAGAAAAAAAAAGAGGGTAAGAATTCACTGATACGAATACATGTGTAAAGGTTGCTCAAGGCATCCAAAGAGCCACTAGGTGAAAACGATTTAACTTCCATTATAGGAATGGACGAGAAGACCCAGACTTGGTAGAAAGTGATGTGCCCATCCCCAAACTTGACCTAACATCAAATTGAATTTTGAATTTGAATAATATATTTTTCTACATTTAAAGTACAATTTAGATTTTGAATTATATGATGAGAATATATTCTCCTCAATTATATAATTATAGTTAAAAATTATTATTATTATTAAGATTCAAATCTTTCTATAAAATACATGAGAAATTTTATGGTTTTAAAAATAATCAATGATGTCTTATTAGTTATTTTTTAATTATTTTTTAAAAATAAATATATATATAAAAATTCTACATAAGAATATTTTTATAAATTTTAACTAATTATAAATTTCATTTTCTCTTTTCTATTTATTTATTATTTGCAAGGGCAGCAGTCCACAGGAAATGCTTCATAAGTGTTTGTCAAATCTTTCTGCAGGTACTGAGAGGAAATGTAAGTGCCCCTATCCAATATCCAATGAGGCTGAAGTCTGCAAAGGTCAATTGGTCCACTAATCCCATATATCCCTATCCTTTTCACCGCCCCAATGGGCATGGAGTACCTTTACTTGCTAAATACAAATAAAACTAAAATGCATTAATGTTTTATTGTGCCTTTATACAGTGTAATATATAATAAAATAATTTTGTATTTTCATATCTTTATTATGTAGTGCAATTACTCCTGTATCCTTGAAAAAAGTAACATAGCTAGTTTAAGGGTCATATTTTTTTGAAATTTCACAATTTTTATACAGTTTAATTCTCTCATGGCTTGGGACATTTTCGGTTTTTTGACCTCGGTTCCTTTATTTTTTACAATTATCATATGAGGTTAAGGATATTATAATTTTTTTTATAAATAAAAAAAGAAAAACTTGCTAGCTCGCCATCAAGTGTGAGATGATAGTACTTTTTAGATGGATTGTGCAACTTTTCTCAGTGACCATTGATCACTTTTAAGAATGATATCTATAACAGCGCACCACCATTTATAAGGTAGGCTGGCGTGTGTCAGCCACAAGGACATGATAGAGCTCTGAAGATAACTATTCTCCTTCTCTTTTCTCTTTTTTTTTTCTATTTCTAAAGATGTGTTGACCTTGCAAAATTGTAATGTAGTCCTTAATATTTTAATTATATTGAATTTGATTTAATTGTTTTTCAATTTATTATTTAGCATTTGATTTTTTTATTTTTTTTTATCAAATTTGATCATTATTCTTTTGATTTATATGTATTTTTTATTTCTTTTTATAATTGGATTTTATTTTTCGATTTCATCACTAATCATTTAATTTTAATTTTTTTTTGTTGAATTTAATCCTCATCTTTTTTTATCATGCTTTTAAAACCCAACCAGGAGTCGACTCCTATCATATCTCGAGTCACGGTTTGGGTCAAATGATTAGGGTTGTTAGGATCGATTGAATTTTTTTATTATGCAAGAAGTAAAAATGACATTACTTTGATAAAAAATTAATGGTAAAGAAAATTCAGCATATGTTGTCATGATTTTCCCCTAATTAATCGCTTTATTTTCTATTTGATTTTGTTTTGTTTATATATCAAATATATTACTCATTCTCTTGATTTTTTTATTATTCTTTTCTTGATTTTTTTTTCTTTTAATTTTTTTCCTCAAATATTTATTTCATTTATTTTTTTTCTAGATTTAGTTTTTATTTTTTAATTGCTCTTTTTAATTTATTTTTTCTTTCAATTTTTTCCCTCGGTGGTATTTTATTTCATTTGTTTTTAATCCAATCTTTGTTCTCATCCTTTTAATTGTTATTTTTTATTATATTTTTAATTTTTTTATTAAGTCCCTCAATATTTCTTCCATTAGTTTTTTATATCAGGCTTGGTCTTCATTATTTTAATTTAGTTTTTTTTTAATGGTTAAGAAATTTATTAAAGAATTTTTTAGTATTATATATAGTTATCTTGGTACCATAATTAGAGTTGCTAATTTTAAATATTAGCTTGATTTAATTTTATTTTTTATTTCATATTTTAATATCATATTATTAAACCTTTAACTTTTTTTTCCGGTTATCTCTTATCGCCAATTAATCAAATTAACCTGAATTTTTTTTTATATTAAAAACAATCTAGTAATTCTTATAACCCATGTTGCAATCAATGTTACACCCTCTCCCTCTCTCCCTGCCTCCCTCCCTCCCTAAACATTCATAAAGCTAGCTCACGAGCACTTTACAGATTTTCAAGTCTTCAGAAAAATGACATCCACAAACCCAAAAAAAAATAAAATTATGTTATTATGCTAGCATGCTCAAACAAACAACGACATAAAAACAAACGATTGTCCAGAGATCTCAGCACAAGTTGTGGTTTAGATCCAATCTCTCCACTTACACTGAAAGAAAGGGCAACAAATTATACCACATCAACACATCAAATACTATACTCGTTGTCTCCCTCCTCTTCATCATCAAATACTATTCTCATTGTCTCCCTCCTCTTCATCTCCCTCCAAGTCACCCGAAAAACAAAGAAAATCGATCCAGCTTCTGATCCTATCAATATTTTCTATCGCAACTCTCCTCTAATTCTTTTTTCATGCAATAAATATATGTCTATGTGCGTGTAGTTGCACCATATATATGGTATATCTTGGTATATATTTGATATAATATCTATATAGTGTGTGCGAGCTTCTTTGGGGTCCTTTCTGAGTTCTTTTTAGTTGGAATTAATGCTAGCTGTATCACCCTTGAGAAATACACCAGCCACCAAAGATGAAAGCCAAGCACAAATGGAGAGTTATTCTACCATTTTCAATGGAGAGTTCCCTGACTTCTCCGAAGGGAGCTTGCTCGAAAGTATCGATTTCGATGATCTTTTTGTTAGTATTGATGATGAAGATGTGTTGCCAAATTTGGAGATGGATCCTGAAATCCTTGCTGAATTCTCTGTTAGTGGTAGCGGAGGTGACGAATCGGATGTAAACACATCGGTATCAAATGAGAAAGTGGAGGATAGCATTCATAGAAAAGATGAGGAAGATAAGTTTTCAGGTTTGGACTCGAGCTTGAGCACTAGAGGAGAGGAGATAGTGAGTAAGAGAGACGAGTCCGTGGTTGTTAATCCGGTGCCTAACAAAGATGGTGAGAAGGGAAGAAAATCAGCAGCTCATGCCAAGAACAACAATAATCAAGGGAAGAGGAAAGTGAAGGTAAATTGGTTGAAGCTTTTATTTAATTGATCAGGTTTTTTTTTTTTTGCATCTTCGATTCGTTGAAGATAAACAAAAAATAATTAAACACTAGATTTTGTTTGTTCATAAGTACTTCATGCATGCGCTAATTAAATACTAAATCTCTCTCTCTCTCTCAATCAATATGAGGCTACTCAGCAAACTTCATCAGGCCACAGTGGTCACGAGAATCATGGGAAACTGAATTATCCATAAGATCAGAAGAGCTCTCATCTATTTTTTGTTTCTTTTTTTCTTCTTCTTCTTTTTATGGTATAATAATGAAGAGAGAGTAATTTTCTTGAACTGTGTGCAGGTGGATTGGACACCAGAGCTGCACAGGAGGTTCGTGCAAGCAGTGGAGCAGCTAGGGGTGGATAAGGCAGTGCCTTCGAGGATTTTAGAACTCATGGGAATCGACTGTCTCACTCGCCATAATATTGCTAGCCATCTTCAAGTACATATACTGAAAACTTCCTTCTGCTATCAGTATTTTTTCTTCTTTTTGCTCATGCTTATGCCTGTATTTCAGTTCAATAGCCAGCAAATTTTGACTTCCTGGCTTTACTCTATTCGAGATGCGCTTTCTTCCAAAATAAGAAATGTTCGAACACAACAAGCTAATAGAGAAATTGTTTGCTTCAATCACTCTATAATTACTTTGATTTTGCATAATTTGGTTTAGCATATAATCCTTTTTATAGCAAAGGAAATGGGCTTGAATTGAAACTAAAATATTTAACAAATGTATTAAAAGTTGTTTTGGAGTTATTCTATGTTGTATGGTATGGGTAATTTTGATGTATATGATTAAAGGAATTTAATGAATTTGTGTAGAAATACCGATCACACCGGAAACATTTGCTAGCACGCGAGGCTGAAGCAGCAAACTGGAGCCAAAGACGGCAAATGTATGGAGCCGCGGCAGCTGGTGGAGGTGGCAAGAGAGACATTAACGCATGGCATGCACTCACCATGGGGTTCCCTCCCGTAACTCACCCCATGCACCACCACTTTAGACCGTTACATGTATGGGGACATCCTTCTATGGACCAATCCTCAATGCATATGTGGCCTAAACATCTAGCTTATTCACCTTCACCATCTCGGCCGCTGCCACCACCACCTACATGGCACCCCCCACCACCGCCACCAGATCCTTCATATTGGCACCACCACCCTCACCAAAGGGTAAGCCCTAATTATTCCCTTCTTCTTTCAATTCAATCAATCAAGAGAAAAAAACCAAAGGAAAAGTAATTGGATAGCCTTGTTTGTAATTTGGCCATATCATTTTTTTTTAGCAGGTTCCGAATGGACTAACCCCAGGGACGCCTTGCTTTCCACAGCCAGTACTGGCAACTGTAAGCAATCATTCCAACTCTTTTGGAGTCTTTAAATCTGTTTGTATCTTCAGCTTTGGATTCATATACAACACGGGCGTATGTTGCAATTAATAGGGTGTGAATAAAAAGCTTACTTATGGATATACTCCATATCTATTGCAGAGATTTCCTGCACCTCCTGTCCCCGGCATCCCGCCCCATGCCATGTACAAAGTAGACCCTGGCATTGGCCTCCTAACAGGACAGCCAGGCCGCAGCCCTCTCTTTGACTTTCATCCGGTGAGTACTGCTCTCCCTCTTCTTCTCAGCATATATATATATATATATATATAAACATGAAAATCAACCTGTTTATCTAATTCATGGCGACATGTTTTGCAACAGTCAAAAGAGAGTGTAGACGCAGTTATTGGAGATGTTTTAGCAAAGCCATGGCTGCCACTTCCTCTGGGACTTAAAGCTCCAGCTACTGATAGTGTGCTGGTGGAGCTGCAAAAGCAAGGAGTTCCGAAGATACCACCAACTCGTGCTTGAACCCTAGCTAGAGAACATCCTTCCTATGGCAGCTAGCTTGTTCATGATACCCCGCCTTCTAGCTAGCTAGACCACCAAAAAATAGCCCTAAATTCGACGACATTTCCTGCATTAGTTGGGTAACATCTCATGATCGAGTTCTTCTTAATTTTTCCCCTCCCTTCTTTCGTCCTTCACTAAGTTAAACTGAGTGTTGCTTCTTGTCTTGTTCTAGCAAGGCCAAGCCTTGTTCATTAATTAAGTCGAGCACATCCTTGCCAAAGTTTTCCATTGAACTTACTCTTGACAACTATATCTATCAATTTCATAGTATTTGATTACTGAAGCATCTCGAAACAAAAATAAATAAAAATAATTGAAACAAAATAGACATGTTCCTTGTTCTTTTTATTTTAAAATAATAAAAATTTATTGTAAAACTATCACGAAAATAAATTTATTTTAGATCTTTATCTCTATTTTGCGATAAAAAAAAAGTCAATACTTGCAAATATATTACAAATCTTTCTGATGTGTTCTGCATCTTTTGGGTCTCTCATCTATTGGATGTTACTCTTATAAAATAAAAATATTACCTTTAAAATCATAGAGATGAGGCCCTATTTATCTTAAAACGACTTTGTGTTTATCATAAATGCTTTTTTTGTACTGTGTTTTCTATAAGGCCAAATGCGATTTCATCACAACAAAGTGAACAATAAAACCATTTTTAGAGAAGAGAACAAAATCTGGATAAATACAAAAAAAATTAACATTTGCTTGCTAAAATCAAGGAAAATGTAAACACAAAAATTTATCCAGGCAATGGCAATGGCAATGGCAATATATATATATATATATATATTGTTACACCCGGAACATTATGGTGTCTATTTAAAAATTATTACTCGATTGGAAAAGGAACATATATATAGCATCTTATTTTTTAAAAGGAAAATATATTGTTCAAGGAGTGACCACCTAATATTATGGTCACTAAAAACTTTAACTGATCAACAGAGATTTTATGGTATGGGACTGGTTACGCAAAAGAAAAAAATATTATCACCTCTTAAGCATCGTACTTGAGCAAGCTGCATTGCTGGTTTTAACTTAAATTGCAAAAGGTTTGTTTGTGTTCCATTCTTATAGTCATCCTATAATATTCTTGACTTTAGCGTCAATGAATATTCACTTATAAATATTTCCAACTTTGATGTTGGTAAATATTGCGCAATTCATAAAGTATTTTTACTCTAACATCAATGAATAAATCTGTAAAATTCTGTATTAAAATAAACCGAAACTATTTTTTTCTTTCTCATTATTTTTTTTTTATTTATGTAGCCTGGTCTCAAAACTTAAAAAAAAAAAAGAGGGTTAGGTCATTAGTCCAGACCAGTGACCTGACTAGCCACTATTGCATGCATGCGTGAACAACTCAGGCATGCATGCTATAGTAATAATGTAATTAATTTGGCAAAACAAGGGAAAAAAGAGTTACATGGCGAGGCAGGGGCTGGAGGAGAAGTGGAGGGAGATGATTGGCGCTGCTCACGGAAGACGACCTTGCTCGCTGTTCATGGTGGAGATAGGTTTGCTAGATGAAAGATAATTGTCTCCATGGTGGCCCTTCGATTTCGCTGCAACCTGTGCCGCCTTTGCAGGGAAAAGAAGGTTACTGTTGGAGGAGTACCTATTGTCGTTGTTAGTTTCAGACGTAGTTGCAAACGAAGAGGAAAATGGTGGCACGCTGGCTTGTTGATGTCGATCCAAGCTTCTACTATTTATGTCACCACGACTGAGCAAAGGTGTGGCTTCTAATGCTTTTGTCCCTACGGTTGAGGAAAGGTGTGGCTGTTGAGGAGGCTACAACTGACCGAGTGACTCAGCTCATTCATGGTTGTTGTTGGTGCTTGCCATGATACAGCTGAGATGGCGTTGCGGCTGCTGTTCACGACTAAGAAGGCAACAAATATAGACACAGTTAGGAGTAGCATCGTGAGACTTGTTGGTAGAGGCTACTGTCATCGAGGAGAAGAGAGATGGTATTGTAGCATCGGCCAGACTGTAAGAGAGCTAGTGTCGGGTGGTGGACAAGAGAAGAGAGACTATAATGGAGCTAAAACCTAACCAGAGAAGGGATTCTGGTTTCTTCTTTTCTTGGTGTTGGCGGTATAGAGCTTGACCAGGAGAGAGTGCTGGCTAGCATTGGTATTGGTTGTTTCTCAGAGAAAAAAAAAAAGGCAGGGAGCGGCTGGTCTTAGAGAAGGTGGTTCTTTGGGGTTCGTCGTCCCTTTTTTTTTGTTTTTTTTTATGTGTTGTTTTTTACAATATCTCCTTCTTGGGTTTCTTCTAATAGTCCATCTTTTTTGCATACACTGAGATCAGTATTTATAGTGCAAGAGTCTCATTGCTTGCAAGAAGTAAAGTCTCAATAAAACTCATTTTCTTTTTTGAAGTTCGGAAGCAGACAACTATCATTATCTTAAAGGTAAAAATTATCTTGAAGGTAAGGATAGAATGATAAACACATTGTAATCTCTAATTTCCATGCAAGCTAATAAATTACATTTTCCATTGAAATAAATCTTTGATATTTTAATTTTATATTTTAAACCTTATAAAATTAAATTAAAACCAATAGACTAAATTTGGGTTACAACATATATTACTAAGTTTTAAAAATTAAAAAGCAAATATATATATATATATATATATATATATATATATATCATACTTCACACTTTAATGTAGCACATCACAATATAATATAATATAATATAATATAATAAAAAAAAATCATAACAAAATGCATTACAACTCAAAATAAGTTATACCTAACAAATGAATAAATCATTTTACCATCTATTCAATTGATTTACAGTTATGGATGTAGAATAAAACATTTTAAAATATTAGTTTAACTAATATTAAAACAAAAATTACATTTTTAAATTCATAGTACATGAAGTTACAAATTATTCAATTCTTTCTCCATTCTAATGCCATATATTTATATGGGTTTAATGCTATTTTACTAGTAAAAAAAAGAAGAACAGATTATAGTATATCAAGAACTTGGGAGGATCCTCCTATCCAATAACACAAAGACTCTTTATAATTTTTTTTTGTACTTTTTTATCAAATTAATTATAACTCATACTTATTTTAAATGGTAAAAAAAATTGTTAAATATAAATAGACCCAAGTTCATTTAGGAATTATATGAATTAAAGTTAATCTAGGATAATTAAAACTACATTATTTTAATTTTTAAAAAATCAAAATAACATTATTTTAAATTTTATTTTAATTATTTATCTAATTATTTTGATTTGACGGAATTTAGTTTTTTTTAACACTTTTGAGTTTACCTATCAAGCTTTACCAGTTTTAATAACATTGGGCGAAGTACTATTTTATTTATTTATTATGTACATTAACAATTTATTTTGAATAAAATTCGAATTTCCTTACGATAAATATTTAAGCGGTGAGCTTGACGCGAGCGTATTGCCGCGTAGAGGAATTCATTAAAAAACAAAAGCGGTGAAGTTGACGCGAGCGCATTAAAATTTTGCGGTCCCGTTCGTATCGAGACAAACAGAGTCAGCAACTAATCGCCACTACCCACGTATGGACCACACACGGCCGACACGTGGTACTTACATAAGACTGGGACAAATTTGGATTCTGTGTTTCATGGCCCACTGTATAACGTTAGCATCAATAATTTAAATTTGAACACTCATTACAAGGGCGGCCCAAAAATAAGAGTATTTTAAACTATTTATTTAGTCCCTGAAGTTTTCTAAGTTTTACAATTAGCTTCCATATTTTAAACTTCCTCATCCAATTGCTTCCCAGGAGTTTCATGTATAATTAACATATATGATTTATTAAATTTAATTCATCCATATATTTATGAAATGAAACAATCAATATAATGCCAATTATAAGTGGCAATAGGAAAAATTATATAGCGTGGTAATATGATTTATAATTAAATATAATATTATTTTTTTAATTATAAAATGAAACAATTTATTAAACCGATCATAAATATATATAGTATTGATATAAAAGTTAAATGAAGGGGAAATTGTACTTTTCATAGCACCAATTCCTACAAGAGTAAATGTATCCTTTACAATTTTATAATTTCAAATTCACCTAAAAAAATTATTTTCTCCTCTGTTATTTTTAATTCCTCAGTTTTTTTAATATTAGTAGATCAAATCAAAACCTTTTTAAAAATTTAGAATAATCAGTCTGTTAAAGATAAAGATATTATTGGAGTAGTTTTTGCAAATCAAGATTAAACCTATTTCAAATTGGATCTTAGAGAGGATATCTACATCAAATTGCACAAATTTAAACAATGGAGACCAAAGTATAATATTATTAAATCTATAGGAGCTAATACAAAGTGACATGAGAGCCGCACGGTGGTGTTCTGACAGTAATCAGAGGCAGAGAAGTCCACCGTTGCAGAGGAAGGTGACATGGCATGTAAATACCACGTAAAAGCACCAGAACATGGCTTTTTAATATCGTGTTTGGCATGATGTTGATTGGACTAAACTGGAGACGACTAATCAAGACCTGACTGGATAAATAACTATTCTGAGTTTGCTGTCTCTAGATAGATTGGATTGGATAATTTGCTTTTTTTGTAATTAGTACATAATGTATGGGAGTTGACTCATATAGAGTCTGGATTGGATAGGGTTTAAAAAAAGGTAAAAGAGGGATATTATTTTTTTAATATACAATGTTTTTTTATTAAAATAAAGTTATTTTAATTTTTTTATTTAAGTAAATTGAGGTAATTTTTTTTTTTATCTCCAATTCAGGATTTTAAGTTTACCTATGATTTTAAATTTTAAAATTATATTAATAATTATTTTTATATTTATACTATTTTAAATCAACTTAAATTTACCATTTCAACTGATAACATAAGCGTTATCTGAAGTTAATAATTAGCTCAACCCATAAAGTAAGCATGATTCTAGATTGATTCATAAATATATTCTTAAAGTTTATGGTAATAACTAGTTTTATGTTTATATTAAACACATTAATGATAAACCTAAACAATAACCTAAGTCTTTTTTTAAATTACTTTTTAATTAGATTTTAAAATTATAATCATTATTATTTTTATTTTTATATTGATCTGAATTAACTAAATTAACTAGGTTAACCCTATGAATAAAATTAAACAAGCTTGAATTATTTCTTTTAGGAAAATAAATTTTTTTTCATTAAAATAACCTTGAAAATAACCCAAAAAATTAATTTTTATATTGTTTAAAGATACAATGAACAACTTCACAAAAACAATTATCATCAATTATTTTCTAGCATAGTAAACACTACCTGAACATCATGTCGACTTTCAACACACAAAGCAGGAGAAATTGTGGAGTTGATTGGGTCTACCACCCTGCCCTGTAATCAATCAATCTAATGAGAATACGACATGAAAATAGTTTTGAAATTGAAATGATTTTGTGTTGTGATTATTGTAATGAAAGAGGTTTGCTCAATTTTTTTAATTTATTGAGTTTAAATTTTAAAACCAGTTCTTGAATATATTAGATTAATATAAGGAAAACATTTTTAAAATTAAAATTTTTAAAATAATAATAATAATTATTATTATTTGTTTTACAATTAGGTGAAATAATGTTTCAAGTTAAATTTCATGTATTAAAATTGATGAATTTATTGTAGTATTGTCAAAAAAAAAACCTGGCAATATAAAAAAACAAGAATGTGATTTCTTAGTTTTTAGAGACTTGATAAATTATGTTTTACAAGAGAAAAAACATGCCTGAATTCCTCACATATATGAAAAAATAAACAGAGCATCAAAATAAATAATTACATCATATTAATTGCTCTCTTGAATCTATTTTTAAAAAAGAGATACAGACATAAATACGAAGGAAAATCAAATACAAGATCCATAAAAAATAATAAAAATATCTTCATTCAGGTGTTTTCTTTTATCCTTGTATCTATATTTAAAAAAAATGAAATTGAAAAAATAGCTAACAAAATATCACTAATTAGAATATAAAAAATTTATCTCAATTTGCAAGCATGTCTTTAAGATAGTATTTGATATTATAATGATGGTTGTTTTTTAAAGTACTTTTCAATTGAAAATACATCAAAATAATTTTTTAAAATTTTATTTTTGATATTAACATATTAAAATAATCTAAAAACAAACAAAACAAATAGACCTGAAGCAAAAAAAAATTTCAAAAGCATGGTGCAACAACAAAAACAAACATGATCTATATATGTTTTTGAAAATATAATATAAAGTGTTTTTTTATTGAAAATATATTAAAATAATATTTTTTTATTATGATCATTGAAAAGCACTTAAAAAGCATTAAATGATATTCTTTTAAAACAAGAAATAATTTAAAAAATATTTTAAAAAGTAGAAGCTATCAAAGAAATAAATAAATAAGAAAAGCACTAAATTGGGCTCATTGTCGAAGGAAACTTCTTCTATCCATGTGAAAGACTAAAAGGAGCCCATTTCATTTTGAGACTTTTCCATAGCTTGTTCTTGTCTCTCCATGCTACTCTACTTAGCCAGAACACACACACGCAAACGTTCCATGAAATTTCCCTTAGAACCCACCTCAAAAAACTTACAATGCTTCTTTTGTGGTCGAAAACTTTAAGACAACTAACCAAATCCATACACTTTTTAATACAGTTTGAAGTTGTTCTCAAGCAATTGAGACACACACACAAAAAAAAAAGATTTAGAACTATCACCTAACAAATAAAGATGAACTACACATCAAAATAATTCAAAAACATTAAAAAAAATTCAGCTGAATCCCAAACACCCCAGAAAAATAAAAACAGTGATGTGAAGACAGACAGAGAGCATGCGTAAAGGGAAAGGTTAAATCAATTTGTAGGAATGCCTTGAAAAGGGCCCTTTGCCTGAAGAAACTTCTCGGTGAGGTGACTTAGAAGAAGCCCATTTGTTTCTTCCGAGACATCTCCCATGTCTTCTTCTACTGATCCAGCATTATGTACATCCGCCATGAAATTTCCCTCGGAACCCAGTCCATGCTTCTCCCTTACCCTTCTTCTCCCTTCCTTCAATTCACACACAAGAATGCAAAACCATGGTGTGTTATTAAACCCAGTCCGCCAGCCAGGTGAGTTAATTTTATAATTTTAAAAATTCATGATTCCATATCCAACTTAATTTGAGTTTCGAGTTGAAGATGATTCGGTAAATCTAAAAAACAAAATTACGCTTTTTTAATTTAAAAAATAATTGACTCAATTAAACTAGTGATTTAGATTCCTTTCGAGATTAGTTGATTTAGATACGACAACTATATGCAAAGCTTATAATCCCTTAATTTGTAGAGCAAACTATAGTCAATTTATTCTTCCAACAACCAAAGAAAAGACATAATGGTCGGAAAGTCTGAGTCTGAGCTCCGATCATCACGCAGATTGGCCTCGTGATTTTCTTTACATTACTTAAGACATCGTCAAAGATAACCATCAAACATGTCTTTAACTAACCACTAATTATATTTGGTCACGTGGACCTCAACAACCTGTTTAGATATTAAATACCATCTTATGGACTTGTGTGCTTTTCACTCTTCCAAAAGGTTCATAATATTTTGATTCTTGGTAAAAAAAAAAAAATAACATAAAGCTGCCGTGATTCTTAGTAAAAAAATACATAAAGCTGTCTTGAAGTCTACTATACTTTATTTTATATTTTAAAGGGTAGTTTACATGTAATATAATAGGATTCCTTCTAGCAATGCAAGCTAAAACAAACAAGATATGACAATCTCGTTAGATTATAATGATTTCGATATATATTGTGGTGCTACATCCATGAAAATCCATCCTACTGTAGGGCGGAGGAAGAAAATAATAATTAAAGGGAAAATTAAAAGAAATATTTTAAAAAATTAAAATTTTAATTATTTTATACAAGAGAGAGATTGGAAAAAATTTTCGGGCCTTCACCAGCCCCCTATTTCCGTCACTACCTACTGCGAAGGTGTTACTCATTTAATAATTCTAATAAAACTTGATTTAATAAGTTAATTTTTTTTATTAATATAAATATTTAGATTAGTTTTTGTATAATTCAATTAATCTTATAAATTATAACATTAATAATTATTTAAGTTTTTAATAACTTTGAAAAGACTCAAACTCATAATTATTAAAAAAACTATCTTTTTGAATTAACAAGTTAATAATTATTTAAGTTTTTAATAACTTTAAAAAGACTCAAACTTATAATTATTAAAAAAACTATCTTTTAAAATTAACAAGTTAATTTAATTTAGTAATTTGTTAACTAAGAATTTAGCCCAGACAAACAATTTGTTTAAGCATCTAGCAAGACTTTATTTAATTTTTAAATTAAAAAAATGATATTATTTCAGATTAAAATTTTTTTATTAAAACTACCCCATCATCATTGTCATCGTCGTTTGTATTGAGAAAAATTTATAAAACATGGGTTTTATACCTATTTAAACCAAGTCTTTTCATATCACTTTTGAGCTAAATGTTGCGTATTTTTTTGAATCATTGTATTCATGATTTTTTTTTTCTCTCAACATTTTCCTAGATTGAAGATCTGAATAATAACATGAAAAGTAATTCAATTAACATATAATCATAATCCCGAAAGTTGACGGGTTTGGGTTTCTAGATGTGTTAGGGACCCATCATAAATGGTATTCATGAGAATTTAAAGAGCCTTTTCAATTCTCCAACTCCCATTTTAATGAATAACTACCTCAACTCGCAATTCAAGTTATCGATACCCTTTGCATTTAATTTACTTTAACACCAATAAATAGACACATTTTGCTTAACCATTCAACTTGCACCCACAGTTATTAGAAGTTAGAACAAGGCTTGGCATGTGTCCGAAACAAGATTTGAATTAGAAGTTTGGTGAAGTAACTCATATTATTTTAAAATAGTACTGTTTTAATTTTGTTTTAAAATATTAAAATGATATAGTTCTAAGAAAAATTAAATTGAGTTTTAATCAGCTCGATTGAAGAGATTGACCCACCAAATTAACCCCTATTTAATTTAATTTAAAACTTGAATTTGTCCACAACAGCCGGTCCAAGTTGACCAACCACCCCTCATTAGTTTCTCACTTTTCCAGATGAACCCTAACTAATTCAACCGCCAAGGAGTGATTGAGGACCCCAAATTCAATTCCACATTGCCCTTCCATGAAAGCAAAAGAGAGTGTCTTATTTTCTTTGTTAGCTAGAAAAGCAATAGCCCCTTTTTGACTAGGAACTGCGTGTGTATTTTTTTCTTTTCCTGCTAGAGATTTGGTGCCCTCTTTTGCTAGACAGTCTCAATGAAAGCACATGCAGAAGGTACTGTGTGCCATGATTTTCTACCCCTCAATTTCCCCTTTCCTCAATCCACGCATAATTGCCCGGCCTGCTAAGGGATCCAATACTCAATAGTCTATAAAAGACTAAGGGAAATGATACTTCAACACACTACTAAGAACCTAAAAAATTTCTTCATCTCTATCTTTAATCTTCAAGTCATTCCTCTAATGGCTTCTTCGGGTAAGCATCTATTTTTCTTCTGTTTGCTAGTGACGTTTTCCTCTATCCGGGCTAGAGAGAGCATGTTCTTTAGCAAGTTCACGCGACACTATAGCATCACAAAAGAGAATGGTAAGAAAGGGCCCATCACCATCTTGTCAGTACCAATTCAAGCACCTACACTAGCACCAGCACCATCACCAGCATCGTTACTAGATGTTCCAGAACCAGCACCAGCACCGGTGTTCGGCGAGAGTGAAAAGGGCCATGGCCATTTCGGTGAGGGCTCGGGAATGTTCCCTCCCAAGGAGACTTCAACCACCACCACCACTTATGCTGATGAAAATGAGCTTTTGAACGAAGAACTGGATGGTGTAACCTCTGACCAGAAGTATGAAAACAGCAACTACAACAATGGCTATACTAGCACTTACAACAATAATGGTTACGAGAGGAGCAACTACAACAACAAGAACAACAACAATGGCTACAAACTTGGTAGTGCTAGATATGAGACAGGTAATCAAAACAACAATGGCTACCCCAACAAGTACTACAATAATGGCTACAAACTAGCTGGTGAAAGCTATGAAGCAGGAAATCAAAATACTGAGAATGGCTACAATGGCAACACAAACAACTACAACAACAACGGCTACAAACTAGCTGGTGAAAACTATGACACAGGCAATCAGAATAGCGAGAATGGCTACACCAACAACTACAACAACAACGGCTACACCAACAAGTACTACAATAATGGCTACAAGCTAGCTGGTGAAAGCTTTGAAGTAGGCCACCAGAATGGTGAGAATGGCTACACCAACACTTACAACAACAATGGCAACACCAACACCTACAACAACGAAGGCTACACCAACAATTACTACAATAATGGCTACAAACTGGCTGGTGAAAGCCATGAAGCAGGCAATCAGAATAGTGAGAATGGTTACAGCAGCAATGGCAACACGAACAACTACAACAACAAAGGCTACACCAACAAGTACTACAATAATGGCTACAAACTAGCTGGTGAAAGCTATGAAGCAGGCAATCAGAATAGTGACAATGGCTACACCCGCTATGAGAATGAGAGACAAGGGATGAGTGACACAAGATTTATGGCGGGTGGAAAGTACTATTACAACGTGAAGAATGAGAATTATTACCCTGCTAATAAGTATGAGTCAGGGAAGGTAAGCACTCAAAATCAAGGTTCTTATGGAAATGATGAGAACCCTAACGAATTCAACACCATGGAAGAGTATAAGAGCCAGGGGGGGTATGAGGAAAGCCAAGAGGAGTCTTTGCCTTGAAATACTGTTATTGTTGTTGAATTTGTAGTGAAAGGAAAGGTAAGAATTATAGAGGAAGAAGAGGGCTTTCGATGTATAATTGAAGGAAAGGCTAAGTTATGGGATCAAATTACAAATTTCTCATTTCATGTGTGATTTTCTAATTTAGTTTTTGGTTTCGATAATATTATTTATGCTTTGCAACTCAAAAGGGATGGAGGATTTTATAGCTTTGCACTTTCATGTGAAAAATTGCACTATCAAGGATCTTTAATTCGAGAGCTTCCATTGAAAGTCATGATTGGTGATAATTAAAGCTAAGATGTTATCAGAATTCTTGATACAGTTGTAAAATCAGAAAACCGAGAGAGAGAGGTAAATTTATCGTTCACTTGTGTTGTGTACTTCTATTTTAAAGCACAAATGCAGCGGTTTCGGCACCTAGACCAGTAGAATACAACACCTCTCTTCAAATGGATTTTGGCAAAGAACACTGTGTTAGGGGGGCTGGTTTTGTTAGTGCTGTTGCAGAAAAAATTTATGTTGCAAAATATTGGCAATACAGAGTTCCAAAAGTACAAGCAAACATCCGATTCTGCCAAGATCTCTTCTGTTGCAGCTCTGAACTGTTGCTTTGACGGGGCCCAGATATGTCATTTTGGATTTCCTGGTCTCTGCGACTTTGGCCAGCGGTTGTCTGTTTGTTTTACCCTTTTTCTTGATTTCGCATTCACCCCGAGCATAGGCCATTTCTCGAGTTTAGTCCTGAACACAGAACAGTCATGAAAATTAAAGCTCTTATACCTCTGCTTTGAATCCAGAATCTGTAATTATTCGAAACCTTACTGAAAAAAAGAAAAAGAAAATGAAAGTTAGGAATAGTCTGTGCTATGAAGATCTGCTGTCTCGTTTCTGGAGAGTGATGAATCTCTGCTGTCATCAAGGAATAACTGATATACTCCCAAGTGTTGCGATTCTTTCTCCTGTTGAGGTTGAACTTCTTTTGAATGAACCATGAAGCCAAGTCTGTTCAACCTCTGTCTTCAAACTATCATTCAGGCTTGGTGTACACGAAGTTTTGTTTCGTATCATTTTGCACGTACTCATCGCGGATCAACTAACTATGTTAAAAAACAGGAAGAGGGAAGAGAAGCTATCAGGTAAATGTAAAATTTGATATGGCATTGAGAAAGTGATGCAAGAGATTCTAGAGGAGCTGAGTTGCCGGATACAGGGTTGACGGCACCGGACTATTTTAACAGGGCAGACAGCACAAGGATGGCAGAGACAGTTGTCAGGGTCCTTTTGTTACGGGTGTCGAAATGACGCAAATTACCCCAATTCAAAAGGGGCAACCATCTGTTGTTTCGGACCCCCAAAATCCATCGTTTAGGCCCATGTTTTCCTAGATTTTTTTTTTTTTTTTCTGTTTTAGTTACTTTTCGGAACTTTATTTTAAGGTGATTTTTATTTCGGTTTACGTTTATATTTCGCTTAATTACTTGCGTTTTGAGAGTCAATTTAGTTCAAAAGTTTAAGAATTAGGTAACGAATTATATAATTCTAACATACTCAGTTAAGTAAAAGTAGGGATGATTTTTTTTAATTTGATTTGGTTTTTACTAAAAGAAAGTAAGCAAACTGGTTTTTTTTTTGTTTTTTTTATTTGGTTCGGTTTTTTTAGTTTAGTTCGGTTTTTATTCAATTTGGCTCGTTTTTTTGTTTGAGTTTGGTTTTTTTTTTTAAGTTTAAAGCCTATAAAACCGAACCGGTTGGTTTTTTTAAAAATTTAATAGGTTTAATTGATTTTTTTTATGGTTTGATTTTTTCAATTATTTTTTTGTGGTTTTCTAAGTTTAATCAATTTTTTAGTTTTTTTACTCATCCCTAAGTAAAAACTATTTAAGCTTGAATGAGGTTTTTTCATGTTTTATATTTAATTTTTATTAAATAAAATAAAAATAATAAGATTTAAATTAAAAATCGTTTCATCAATAAAACTTTAACACCATAAGAAATAACTAATTTAAACTAAATTCTAAGTTTTTAAGTAAAACTTCAAAATATTATTATTTATATAATTCTTAACATTTCAATAATAATTTTATTTTATCAAATAACTATTATTTACTATATTTGGGCCCCGTTTGTTTGCAGGAAAGTTGTTTCTTTTTGGAAAGTGAATTCCGGGGAAAGTGAATTCCGAGGAAAATGAATTCCTGAAAAGTAAAGTATTCAGCAAATAATGACATTTCTAAACTTTTCACAACTTCCGGAAAGTGTTTTCCTCCCAAATTTTTCAGGAAAACACTTTCCTGAAAATCAAGCCAAATTTTCCTTTGACTGGAAAGTGTTTTCTGTTTATCAACTTTCTTAACAGCAAACAAACACAAGAAAGTTTGGAAAGTGATTTCCCAGAAATCACTTTCTGCAAAACAAACATAAGAAAGTTTGGAAAGTGTTTTCCCGGAAACCACTTTCTGGAAAACAAACACAGCTAAAAAGGAAAACACTTTCCTGAAAATTAAGCAAAAATTTTTTTTTGACTAAAAAATATTTTTGTTGACCAGAAAGTGTTTTCCGTTGACTGGAAAGTGTTTTTTGTTGACCGGAAAATATTTTCCGTTGACCAACTTTCCTAATAACAAACAACACGGGAAAGTTTGGAAAGTAGTTTTCCTGGAAACTATTTTCCGGAAAACAAACATGACGTTGATAACATTTACGTTCCTGGCTATGAAAGTCAAGCTTGTAAGCTATTTCAATTTAGATTTTATTAAGGAGAAAGTTATTTTGTTTTTTCTCTCGTATTATGAGATTTTATTTGACTAATTTATCTCAAGTCATTTTTTATGAGTTAATAACTTTGAATTAATTTTTTTAAATTAAAAAATATTTTAAAATAATATAAGTCTGATAAATATATCAAACTCAAAATACTTAAATTTAATAATTAATTAAATATAAAATAATATAAATATAATAAATATTCCAAACTTAAAACATATAGATTCAAAAACTACAAAATTCTATAGTTATGTGTCATGCTCAAAATAATCTTCTAGATTAAAAATATTATACGTATAATAAATTATTATGCATCTTCATTTAAAATAATTATATAAGTCATTTATACATGAGATAATAATCTTCTTATACTCATAAATGTACAAAAGGTATTTACATGGACCTATTATATTTATTATTTTATTAATAATATATAAGAAATATATTTTTTTATTAATGCCATCAAAAGCAAAGAATTCTTCAGTTATTTAAAAAAAAAACAATAAAATTGAAAAGATATAAATACCTTTTAAACCATCAAGGTAAGAATTCAAAACTTTTTATCTCTTAAAAAACTTGAATATATTTAAAAGTATTAATCATTTTAAAACTCAAGAATAAATATTTTTATTTTTAAAATTTAAATTTTTTTAAAATCATTTATTATCTTTCTCATAAAAATATTAATTTTATAATTAGAGTGTTTATAAATTCGATGATTTTAATTTTCTATCATTAGTAACTAATGTTCCTCGATCTAAGAAGAAAAAAACTAATTATCTGGATATAATAATTAACCATTATTCCAAACACTAAAAAATACTTGTTATTTACATACATGGATTTTGTCTTTTCATTTAAACCCTTCCCCAGTTTCCCTTTCTAGCTCAATTTTCATAGTTCAGGCCGCTTTAGAAAGTGGGAAAATATGAATATGAAGATGGGTTCGATACCTCGTTTCTTGTTACTGCTGTGACAGAAAAATGTCTCATAGATTCCAGTGAATGATCAAGCAATAAATGATATACATTACATTAGTACAGTACCATCACCAAAACTTTGTTCAGCATAATTACTGAAATCAAAGGCCAAGGCTGGTGCTGCTCAGGTAGCGTCCCACTTTACTGTCTTATGATGGCAGACAGGCTACAAATTAAGCTTTTTTCCCCTGTAGATAAGCTAGCTGGAAAGGCCCAGCTGCAGACCACTCAAAAGAGAAAGCATGTCCAGTAGAAGTTCATATCTCAATTGATAAAGTAGGCTTCACAACTTGCTACAGATGAGAAATTGTGATAGGAACCTATGGCAGCCTGATGATGATCTAATTATCTTCCTGAAAGGAATCACAGGTCAATAATATTATTAACAAAGGCATTCACAATGAATTCAAGGAACTTAGTTTGACAAATGATTAGCTTAAAACCAAAAAAAATGACAGGTTCTGCTGAGCACGAACAAGGACAACACCAACCACTTGGTGTCATTTTCACCATAAGCAGACACCTTGTTTATAGCAAAACATGGCATGGAGTAACATTAGCAACATGAGTGTATGACGATTAAACCTTGTTCTTGTGAAAATATAATGCTCCATGATGAGCCATTAGTGACACGAGGAATCTCAAGAATTTATAACACCACATATGCAAAGCTGAGAAATTAGTAGATATGTAGCGCGAATAACAGAAGACTGTTCCTGCTCAATTTCTTATCCTCCTGAATGCTTGAATATTTATAAAGGGGATGTGAGAAATCTTGGGCCAATCTTCGCCCATCTCCTTCCGACACCTTTTTTCTAGCAAAGGACAATCTCCAATTTCAAGATATTCGAGGGAGGAGGGCAGTCCCTGTTCTGGCATGGATTCAAGCTTAGGACAACTCCAGATATTCAGTTTGTGAAGAGAGGAGAGCTGCTGAAGCCCCTTGTAGCCCAGAGATTTCAGATTTGTCAGGTTCAGGATGTTAAGGTATTCAAGAGAGGAGGGGAGCCCCTCTTCTGGCATGGACTCAAGCTTAGGACAATCACTGATCATCAATTGGCGAAGACAGGTGAGGTGCTGAAGCCCCTTGAACTCTAGAGATTTCAGATTTGCCAGATTCCAGAGTTGAAGGTACTCGAGGGAGGAGGGCAGCCCCTCTTCTGGCATGGACTCAAGCTGAGGACATCTCCAAATCTCCAACTTGCTAAGAGACGTAAGGTGCTTAAGCCCCTTGTAATCCAAAGATTTCAGATTTCTCAGATCCTGGATTTTAAGGGTTACAAGAGTGGAGGGCAGCATCGTCTCCTCAGGGAAGGACTCCAAGTCATCTTTCCCAACAAATAGGAAGTGTGAAAGAGAAGTGAGAGATTGCAAACCACACACCTTCAATTTTATACAATCTTGGATGCAAAGTGAGTTTAACTTGGATGGCAAACCCCCTTCTGGAAAGAAATCAAGCTGTGGAAGTGAGATCAGTTCCAATTCCTCGAGGGAAGGAAGGAGGGAATGCATGTTTCCCGGCAGAAACTTCAAATTTATGCAACCCTCTAACTCAAGCCTTCTCAAATCTGGGACAGCCAATCCTCCTTCGAGAAAAGATACTAAATTAGGACATTCTGCAATTTTCAAATGACGTAGAGCCCGCTGTCCCTTTTGTATGCAAAGTGACTCAAGATTTTGACAATATTGGATTGTAAAGGTGGATAACGGGGGTAAAGGTCTAGCTGACAAAACTTGAGCGAACTGCAATCGAAGATGCCAACGTCTATGATTATAGAAGAGGAAAGATAACTCATTTGCTCCAATCCCTTAAGTTGAGAATCTTCTCTAAAGGTAAGACACCGCCTAGAACTAGATAATTCCTCTATATATATACGATCATTAGAACCCTCACCGTCATTGACCTGGATTCTGGTGAGCTTGGGAGCCTCTGGAATTGAAACCACAAGCTGTGGACATTCTTCAATGTCAAGTTTCAATAGAGAAGGAAGGTGGCAAGGCAAGGCATTTGTTAACTCCGGACATTTTTCTATCCAAAGCTCTTCAAGGTGAGGGAAAGCACCGGCTGCATCTGTATTCCATTCCTTCCATTTTCGCATCCCCAGTAATGTTAAACTTTTAAGGGATTTAAACGGCGTCTCCATGAAAGGGCCAATTCCATAGAACTCAGAACCAACAGCCACAACTTCATCAAATCCTTTAATTTGGAGCTCTTCAAGATTTGGCAACTGCCCAAGTGGTGGTAAGGAGGTGGAGTTCTTGCATCCATCAAGAACCAAAGACACCATATTTGAGAAAGAAGAGTTTCCAACCCAACCTGGAAACTTTGTACCCCCATAAGCAGTAATGACAAGCTCTTTCACATTTTCAGGAGGCTCCAATTTCTCAAGTACGTCTCTGCCATCCACATCTCCATCCCATGCCAACCTCAACCTCTCAATCTGCTTCTTACCCTTCAAATTGGCATCCAAAGCATCTTGAACATCCTCAACATTTTGGAGATTCCAAATAGAAAGCTTCTCTTGAAGATGTAAGAGCCTCCCCAACTCTTTAATGCAGGACCCATTCTGTTTTCCCAAAAAGAAATCTGTCAACTTTCGAAGCTTTGTGAGTTTTCCCAGTTTGGGTGGCATCTCTTTCAGTTTTGTCCCTTCGATATCGAGATGTTGTAAGTTCACCAGTTTGGACATGTTGGTTGGCAACTTGATGAGATAGTAACACTGCTTCAAGATTAATGTTTGCAAATTGTACAGTTTACTCATATTTTCAGGCAGGCTTTCTATTGATTTACCTGAAAGGTCTAGATATCGCAGATGTTTCAAGTTGCCGATGGAATTGGGTAGCTGAAACTGATGTATATAACCAGACCCAACAAATGATAGTACTCGCAAGCGCTTGAGAATTCTCAACATGTCATGCAATACCTTGCCATCAGCTTTCCACCCAGGTGCTACTAACAAGAAGTTGCGCAGATGTTGGACTTCATGAATGTGCTCAAATATCTTGGATACCTGATCATATCTTGAAGTGAGAGATAAATAACGAGTCCTTTCAGGAAGCCTGCATGGATTTCCACCCTTCAACCTAGAGCCTGATTCTCCATCTCCCATAAACTTCAAGCAAAATTCTCCTGATACGTATTCGGCTAAATCAACTATGAGTTCATGCATGATGAAGCTTGACGGATCATCGCTTGATTTCTGGAAAAATGACCTTGAGACAAGATCATTAAAGTACTTCTCACCTATTCTTTCAATCTCCACATCGCCTCTAGACTGGACTAAAAATCCCTCTGCCATCCATAAGGTGATCAATTCATTCTTCATAAATGTATAACCCTTAGGAAATATTGCACAGTAAGCAAAACAACGTTTTAGGTGTGATGGGAGATAATAATAACTCAATCTTAGAGCCGGAGGGATGTTTTCATTTGACAAACCCCACATGTTGCTATTCGATATCCTCTCCCATTCCTTGGCATCTCCTTCAGAGTGCAAAAGACCACCGAGAGTTTTCGCAGCCAGAGGTAGTCCTTTGCACTTTCTCACTATTTCTCTGCCAAATGCTTCCAAGTGTGGGAGTGCACCAGAATTTACACCGCTAAATGCATGCCTTGCAAACAACTGCCAGCAATCTTCATCGCCTATTCCTTTCAACGAGTAACAGGGGTTAACAGTTTGCATGACTTTCGCCACACCTTCATTCCGTGTTGTTACCACAATCTTACTTCCTTGCCCTGCATACCGCAAAGGTTGCCGTAATTTGTCCCATTCCCCGTACTCAATATTCCACACATCATCTAGAACAAGCAAAACCACTTTCCCCTCCAATTCCTCCTTTAGAGATTCATCAGGATCTTTGATGCCACAAGCACTTGCATTGACCTTCTTAAGAATATCATCCATCACTCTTGTTACATCGAAAATCTCAGAAACCCAAACCCAAGCCTTGAGTTCAAACAAATCTTCTACCCTGCTGTCATTGTAGACAAGCTGAGCTAGAGTGGTTTTCCCAATCCCTCCCATTCCCACTATAGGAATCACAACTACATCCTGGCCATTTTCTTCATTCCGTCTCAACAATTCCATTATGGCTTCCCTGTCAGCATCCCTACCATAGACATAAGATTCATTAACTAGAGGAGTTGTCTTCTCTGACAAAGGTCCACCTCCAACAGCACCTTTTATCCAGCGAAGATCACATTGTTGCTTGATTAAACGTTCAAGCTTCTCAAAAATCCTTCCTAACTTTGCTTCGATCCTTTTCATCCTTCCGTTAGTTGGATTAAGAAATGGAAGGAACTGCCCGACCTCCAATCATGAAACATGAAATAAATTTTAGAATAGACAGCTTTAAAAGTAACATTTGATGTAAAGTTTAACTTCTGTTTTGCTAATATTTTATCCAATTTTCCTTAGAAGAAGATTCAAAGTAGTGCTTACCTGAGTCCTGACAATTTGAGAGGCAGCTTTGTCCTTGGATCGTAGATGTTCATAATCAATCTCCTCCAGCAAGTCCTCAGCTTCATAGACAGCATGTTTAACATCATTAAGCCAGTTCTTCACAGCAGCCTTTGTAATCTGCTTCTCCTCCGCGTCGTCTAGCAGTCCGTTGACAGTATTCAGTGTTTCTTTCAACTTTTCCAGAAGATCATCATTGAGTTTTTGCGTTTTGAAGAATCCCAGAACCTCAGGATGGGCCAACTTCTCGACCAAAACCTCAATAACAGCAGAGAGAAGTGATTCTCCAATCAAAGCCAGAGCCATGCTGTTGATCTTTGCCAAAGAACTGGCAGAAAGCAAGAAGAAAATGAATTATACAGACAATGAGATGTCAAGAAAACAGTTGACTTTGCCTCTGTTTTAGACCAGTCGTCGTAGATAATGTCCTTTATGTTCACCTTACTCCCTTGATCTTGATACCAAATTCCAAGACAGTCCTAAATTTAACAAGTTATACAACTCACAAGATGAATTTATTTGGCCTTGAAGGTTTTACAAAGCAGTCGTCAATTTATCAAGTCATATAATTCAATGGCTTTTTACAAAGTTGAAGATTTCTTAACGTATAGATTTTTCCAATTTAGTTTTGGGTTTTGACAGTGTTCACGATTTTCAATTCGAAAATGGTAGAGGGGTTATTCAGTTTTGCACTTTAATTTCAAAGGAAAATTGCACTAAGGATCTTGAGCTTCTCATAGAAAGACGAGTTGCTAATTAAATTACATTGATTTCTTCCGGTAATTAGTACATGAAAGCACATAAACATTAGTAGAGTTGCAAGGGGGACATTGATAAATTGGCTAAAATAGAGTAGGAGATTGACCTTAATTCTGGAAATGCATTTATAATATTTGAGAGTGTAGCTGTAATTATTTTTTAAATTATTTTTCCTGTCTTTCTCTTTCTTTCTTTTTTGTTTTTTCTACTCTTCTATAATGGAAACTACATTTTAATTCAAAAAAAAATAGTTCTTAATAATTAATATAATAGCTCTTCTATAATGGAAACTACATTTTAATTAAAAAAAAAACAGTTCTTAATAATTAATATAATAGTCTCATCATCATATAGGACCACACACAATAGATATATTGGCAATATATAGTTCCAAAATCAACAACACAGGCAAGCAAACATCCGACTCTGTCAAGGTCTGTCTTGGCTCTGGATTAGTTGCTTGGGCAGGGGGGCGAACATAACATTTTTGGACATCCTGGTTTGTGATCTGGTGCATCTTTGGCCAGAAGTTGTCTCTTTCTATGTTTCACCCTTTTTACACTTTGCGTTGCATGTCATTTTCACCGTGAGGCATAGGCTATCTCTCGAGTTAATCCTGAACGTAGAACCATCACGAAAAACCATCAGGCAGCTGCTTATCCTGATCAAACCTTTTCTTTTCATAATATTCCAATGAACTATCAAGTTGTAAGTTATATGGATTGGTGGCATCTCTGATCTCTTTTTATAACTCTGTATTGAATACAGAATCTCAAATTATTTGAAACGTCATCAAGAAAGAAATGAACACAAGGAAATGTAAAGCAATTCTCTCTTTGGTACAATCTGGGAGTATATTGCAAAGTAGCATGAAGCATATTTTCCAACATGTCTCTGTTGCAAAGAAAAAGATGTCAATTTGCAGCTTACACAGAATCACACAGAAAAAGATTGGCATTGCTTCAAAAAGCCATATCGTGAAAAGCACTGTTCATCACAATTACAGTGAAATCTTGAGTAAATGAGGGGCGGGGCTCAGGTATCAGTAGACTGAGCTATTTACAAGTGATGCTGAAAAGAAAATGGCATATTTTACGATTTTATGATTGAACAGTTTGCAGATCAAGCCATTTCCCTTGTACGAGCGGCAAACAATGGATACAACGAGAAAGCTTAGCTGCAGATCAATGAAAAAGAAGAGGAAATCCACGAAAGAAATCATGTCTACAGAAGGTCATGGCACATTAATCAACCAAGTTCCCTACTATTTGAAGCATGAATGCATAATCCCATGCACCTTTTCTGCTGCTTAAGAGATGTTGCTGGATGTCTTTTTTACTTTTCTGGCAGCAACATGATTATTGAATGATCTGATTACAAGTCTAAGATGGTATTAAAAACAATAACGTTCAATGTAGAAAAGGGCCTTTGCAATTGAAAATAATTTTGAATGCTCCTGGAACTACGTTGAAAAACAAAGAAGACAGTGGAAAACCTATCAGTACAAAACCCATAACAGTCTTCGGCAAGCCCTTGGCCCAATTTCTGCGACACCAAACCGGCTAATTGGTTTGTAATTACTCGGCTCCCTTGCAAACTTATAGGAATAATTTTACAAAATAAATTAAAAAATTTAATTTTAAATTAATTTAATATTAAAAAATAAAATCAATAAAAAACAACATCTAATTAAAAATATATAATAAACTCGATCCAACTAAATAAACTTACAATGAAAATTATACATATCACCAGGTCTTATATTTTTTTTATCTTAGAAATTATTTTTATTGAATTATATAACAATATAGGGCATGTTTTTTGTATTAAACAACATGTTTTTTATAATTAAAAAAAATGATAATAGGCATGTGGGCTAAGATAGAAAAAATAAATCATTAATAATAAATGATGAAATTACATTTTTTTAGATTTGAGATTAAAATTAGATTATTGATGACAGGAAAAAAATGTTAAATTATTTTTTTTTAAATGAGAAATATAAAAATTATTAAACAAAAAAACAATGAAAAACAAATAATATTTTGGATGTTGTGGATTAACCCATTAAATTTTCTACCAACTTAATTAGGTTCAATAATTTGTTTTATTAATTTTTTTAAAAATTAAAATATAAAATAAGAAGAAAAGAAACTCAGCCATGTAAGTCTAGGCACTAAAAAATTAGCCTAGCTAAGTGGACTTTCTGATGTAACTCAACCAATAAGCCTGAGTCTATTTTATTTAAAATAAATTTTAAAAGGATAGACAATTTTTGTTTAAAAAAAAAAGCGACATTAGATGACATATCATTTACTTTTTGCAAATTAGCCAATAAAAAAAATCATAGGTTTGGTTTTTGTTTTCTATTCAAAATTCATTTTTGATCCAAACACACTTATAAAATATCATAAACATCTTGATAAACCTATCTATAACAAAAAGATAAAAAAACACAAAAAAACAAAATTAACCCAAGACCAAAATGATTCCTGCTATAAGATCTATTTTCTTGGGTATGGAGAATAAAGAAAAACATCTAAGTTAAACTTCCTCGTGAAATGAAAGTTAATTAACACCAAAACCAATTATTTCAATAGTTAAAATTGTTATTAACTATGAATTTTCTCTTTATACACTAAAATCTAGTAAGTCTTTCTATGCTCTCATAAAAAATGAATTTGAAAATGAGTTAAATGAAACTTGGTAGTAAAATTAAACTTCAAAAAACTAAAGAAATTGATTGCTTAATAGTTAAAAAAGATGATAGTTAAAATAAACTTGTTAAATAAAATTCTAATATACCATCTATTTTACCTGTCACTTGCACTTTAATTTTTTATCTTTCAATTTAATTTTTATTAAAAAATATAAGTAGGTAGTAATTTGATATCAAAATAACTTAATTGTATAAGAAAAGAGTTTGAAGATCAAATTATTTTTTTGAAAAAATTAAATTATTTTAATTCATAATGATTTATGAGAAATTAAATGATGAAATTTGCAACTATTAAATGACCACATGGCTCAATGTTTTTGTTGATAATACGCCTCTCTTTTAAAACAAATTAGTTATTGATATTAAATATATTGAAGATATTTTTTTATCTTATTTAATAATATTCATTAAAAACAATGTAAGTAAATTTATGTTGATACCAAATTATAATTAAAAGTTAAAAAAATTACATGCTATTAAAAAATACTAAAATTTCTATAACAGTGGAAATAATTGAAATGATAATATTAATTTTGTACAAGATTAGGAGGTATCTTAAAAATATTAAAAAAAAATACTATTTAAACATCATATCTTATCGTTTTCATGTTTTGTTTATAGCTATCAAACTCATATGAGCCAATCTTTTTTTTAAAAATAAAGTTATTAGCTCATTTATTTTTATTAAAAAAATAAAATTTTTTATTTTTTTCATATTAACTTTGTTAGTATGGAACAAGTTTTACTAAAATCTCAATCCAATTAAAACAACCATGTTTTACCACGTTAATGTCTTATTGTATTTAACTAGAAACCCAACTCGATTCAGCCGCAAGCCCTAAATTTCCCAAGTTAAACCGACAAGAAAGGTGGGTTTAACAACTACAATTTTATTATATTTTGAGGATCTAATTGTAAAATTATAAATTTGAGTACTCATATTGAATTGCTCGCTTATTCAATCTCTTCTTCAAGAGCTTGTTTAGCAATAATTATAGTTATTTTTTAAATAATTTTTTTATTTTAAAAAAAAATTATTTTAAATATTGATACATTAAAATAATTTAAAAATATTAAAAATATATTAATTTAAAATAAATAAATAAATTTTAAATTTTTTTAAAAATACTTTTACAACAGGCGTAAGTCGCTGCGGCATAAATACATTAGTCTCAAAGATATTAGCTAATAGTGTCCCTCTCTCATGCGTCCTGCTGCAAATAGTTAATTAATTAATTAAAAGAAATTATGGCGCCGGAAACGAACAAGGCGAGTGGCAGCGGAGGTTCAACTGAAAGCGATGCGCCGGTGAAGGCGCCGCCGTCGAAGAAGAAAGAGGAGAAGAAGGACGACGATTTAGTAAGTTTCATTTACTTTAATTTCTCACTTTAGGTTTTTATTCATTGAAGATTGAGAGCAACTTTGTTACCTTTTTTTGTGATTTGATGCGGGTTTTTGCTGTGTAGTCAGAGGAGGACTTGGCATTGAAGCAGCAATTGGAGTTGTATGTGGAAAGAGTTCAAGATCCTGAACCTGGAGTTCAAAAGCTTGCTCTTGAGAGTTTGAGGTACTGACTGATTCATTCAAAGTTTGCAACTTTAGAGTTTTTGTTTCTGCTAATTTTGATGGTAATTTGTCGGTGATGATAAATTGGAAGGAATTTGAAACTGTGAAGCTGACGTGAAGGGCGAGTGATATTTGGTAATATATAGGAATGCAATTGGTTTCTTATGGGAATCGCACTGATAGTTTGGCTGTGTTTATTACCGTTGTAAAAGGGTATGGGATTTCTCTTGGAATTTAGGTTTTGATTTTTTGGATTAACAAATGTAGACTTCAACATGAAAGTCATTTAGAAGATGGGTCGTGACTGCCAATGTTTATGAGATGGGGCTTTGGAAGGGGTATGTGTGCTCTTGGATTGAGCTCCCCTCAA